TTTTATTAAAGTGCCTTTTCAAAATTTATGACCTGTCTCTTAGAGAATGATTGTTTGACAGTTCATGAAGCATGGTATTTTCTTTGATAGGTATACCGCAAATAAAATCGTACTTTACCTACATGTAGCAGAACTAGGGTTGCCAACATATTGTCTTTGGTTAATTATTTTTTGCTTTAGAATGTAGTACTTCTATTTTTTTTTAATTCAGTAAGACCCTAGAGTTGATTTAAAAGCGGTTTATATTGGGATTTATTTGTTTCTCATCTTTTTAAGAATATGTTTGTGTACTAAATATTACTTCAACTGTATATAGTCAATTCTAAATATAGTACTTTATATTATAGGACGTCACGTTAACCATATGCAGTCGCCACTAACTAAAGTAGCTCACAAAACGTGTATAATGGTAGAATAAATTAATCTACCATATAACCAAATAAGATTAGAGGGTAACAATTATATACATGTATGTATTTTAACTTTTTTGACTACCTCTGTAGCTAAATGGTTAAATGTGCTGCCTAACATCCTGAGTTCGAATCCCGGGGAAAGAAAATGGTTTCGGTCGGGCAGGGTACAGAAGTCTGATCAACTACCTACCTGTAAATAAAAATCGATCAGTGAAACACTGAAATGTGTTCGTCCCATGCCCCACGAGGGGACACAGGGTTTCACTTCTTATGTATTTAAGTTTTGTCTTAATGTTTTAAAACAACTATTCATTACAAATTCTAAGAAATAAGAGTTCAATAATTGAATAGATAAACATCCTACCGCATCCCTTGCGAAATGTCAAACTTCATAATATATTATACGATATATGTGAGATGTCCCAGAGTTTCAATTAAATTAACAATTATAACCTTCCATTATGTTAATTGCCATATTATATACTTAATACTTTGAGTAATATTGTTCTTTGTTAAGTGATAACTTGGGCCCCGAAACTTTACGTATTGTATATTAATTTTAATTAAGTTTATTGAGTAATTAACCAATTGATAATGATTAATACAACAGTACGGAGTTTGTCAGCCATTACACTGTTTGATATATTAAAGTAGATGTTAAAAACATTTTAATATAAATAATTGAGTTCCAAAACATGTTGTTTTGATTGAAGATGTTATTGTCGAGCGAGCATAAATGGGAAAGTTTACGAATTAACGAAAAGCAAAATGACAAAACGAAATGAGACTTGTTTATGGAGAATGTATGTGGAAAATTCCGCACACAGATAGACTCCAATTTCAGTGCTGACTAACGGAAAACGCATTTGGCAAAAATCTCTGCACTCAAAAAACCAAAGTTTTAGTCCATTTTTTACAAACTGTCAACTCGTAGTTTTATTTTGATTTTGATTCTGGCGCTGCTCCCCAAAACTTTGCTAACGCAACTCCAGGTATTCATGAAATTGAATCTGGAACGGGAATAAAAAATTACTCTGTTTTAAAATTTAAATTTAAAACGGGTCTGCTAAATTTATACAAGTAGGCTTCTGAAAGCACTTTGAATCGTCATTCTTTGGGGAAGCAAAATCAAATGGAAAGAGTTGAAATGGTTTTTCAGGATTTCAAACACGCACCTGCTTTATGTAAGGTACTGAGATTTAAAATGATATTCGCCTTTCAAATGTATATCTGTACTTTTTTTGTTTTCAATTCCTTATAATATGATAAATAAATAAACTACTTAGTTACAAAAGCGGTCTTTTTACCTTTTTAGTAGGTAGTAGGAATTAATTAATAATAAAATACTATCACGAAACATCGGGTCGTAATTAAATTAAAATATTTGAACGAATATATTTCGCGTTTCAAACCGTTAGGATTGTTTTTAGAAGCAGTTATTGTTACGAAACCTTTCGTACGCGAGTTCGACGTGTACTTGGCTTTTATATAATGTCTGTATTAAAGCAAGAGCTTGAAAATTATATCATTGTAGGGAATCTTACGAGCACCAAAATAAAATAGTATAATATAGATAAATCTTTTAAATTCGTCTTAATCTTTTTACAATACTTCTTAGCTCTTTACGTCCTAATTCGCCATCTTTCACCATCTTTTTTACTCTCCCCGTCCCTTTCACACCTATCCTTTTGCTCATTCTTACATATGTAACACTTCATTTCACACATTCTATATTATTGTTTTAATATTGATAAATTAGGGTTTATAATAAGGTATATAGCAATAGTAATCAGGGCATTGTTTTCAATCAATACCGCATTTACTTCCGAGTAATCGAGCGGTATTTCTCGCAACCACATCTCGATTGGGGTAATGTACCAGAAAATGAAATTTCGCCAGTGTTCCCGATTATGTTCATATTACCCTCGCCCCTCTTCCAATAACGCGTACTTATTTGAACGGATTTATGTAATTTTTGCGAAGTATGTCTTCGCCTCAGATGTGCTGGGGTTAGCGCTATTGGTCGTAATGCATGGAATTAGGGAATGGGTTAATATTTTCTTGTGTTTGTATCAAAGAAATACATATAAGATCACAAAAAAGTGGTTTATTGTAATTTGGTAAAAATGTTATTCGTGTGGGTATAAGTATTGTCTGTTCTACACGTATACACCTTAATAACACTTAACGTTTTAAAACGCGACTTTTTTTTATTACGATCCAACGTTTTCAAAAATGCTCCGATTATTGCCCTCATATAATTATTACAAAACCTGTTTATCCTAATTTATCAATATTCATATATTTTTCAAGTTTTTGCTTAAGTAAAGGCATCTGTTTTTCCCTTCACTTCAGTTTGCCTGGAAGAGATCGCTGTTTAACGATAAGGCCGCCTTTTAGTTATAACTTAGTACATAAGAATTTATTGTTGTAAACCATTTCTGTGGTGTTTGTAATTAATAAAGTTAATAAATAAAAGCGAAGTAGAGGTCGAACTCGAGCACGAAGGATTTCACAACAATAACTGCTTTTAAAAACATTTAATCGTTTAAAACGTGAATAATATTAGTTATTTTTGATAAGAACCTGCCATTTCGGATTCTTAAAGCTGCCGTGATTATGGGAGGACTATGGTATGAGGGGCTCGTTGGTGGTTTAACAATCAAAGGGTGGGTTCGATTCGTACCAGGGTTAACATGTTTTAAATCAATGACTCTGCAGCAATATGTTTAACTTATTCTGGAAATCTGAATATTAAATAGGTCGTAGGAATTCCTTCTGAGTCCCAAACCACTGTCCACTGACGAAAATGTGTTTAAATTTAATCGTCTTTTAGTTTCAGATTGTGTATCTTACGAATATATAAAAAAAATATCCATCTAGTTTAGATGCTATATGGCTAGATTATTTCACATTCAATTAAGTGAGCCCCGTGGTCTTTCACCTATATCATAAAATAAATAATATTTCGCGTTTTTCACCGTTAACAGTGTTTTATTTAAACTTACAAAAATAAACGTATTAACCAGGTGTTTTTGGTTATATACGAATGTATTTTTCCACAGTAGAGTCTTTTGTAGTTAAGTAGGAAAAAAGTACTAATAATATAAATCTGTTTCAGAACTTAAAATTGGTAATGTAGCTTTCGTCGTTATAAAAACAAAAAATTAGGACACTGTAATTAATCAAGCTTTAAGATTATTCGAAATAAGTACCTAAGCTTGTCTCAACGCCCGTCGTCTTGTGTTCTTGCCACAACAAACTCTACAGCAAGAACAAAAGAGGCTATTTTCTCAGTCTATGTATAAATTTTCCACGTTTACAATACTATACGGATTTTGATGAACGGTGTTTTGACTTCATAATGTCATGTCAAAGGCTATAAAAATATTTATGCTAGTACTGAAGGAAAGTTCATGGTGAGATGATAAGGGTATATTTAAATATATTTCATCATTATATTATTATTTTAATAAAAATATATACTAATATACTAAAACAGTTTAGAAGAGTTTTTATGCCTAAACTACTCGGCTGATTTTAATAAAATTCTTCACAAATGTGCATGGAACTTGTAAAACCGCAGTCTATTAAAATTAATGTGACTACACATTATACAGGGTGCAGTCAAGTTAGACGGCAATCTGTACAATGTTACCCTATATTCCTTAAATAATATATTCTTTAAGATACGTAAAATGGGCGACAGTGTGTAATCATAAAGAAGACACCTATTACAGCGTAATCTTAGTCGTTAAAGCCTCGACTTGCAAGATTCATGGTCGGTGAGAAAACCTTAATGGAGCATTAGAATTATATGTTTCTTTCAAATATATACAATACAGCTACAAAGAACCACTTTAAAACCGACAAGAAATAATAGTATACATGAACTTACTTCGTTTCTATCTTTGCTATGTTATACTTTTTTTATTGATAGATGAAGAAAAAATTACCAGACGTTTAAATCTGTACAGATGTTAAATGTTTGAAAACTTTGATATTTTTCACATGTTATTGCACATGATGGCACTATATAATTTAAAAAACGAAGAAATTATTTGCCCGAGTCGAATTTAAAAAACAAATATTTTCGATTTTTACATTTAATGTTAAATGCTATAAACATTATTTTAGGTACTTTGCATTATAGATCAATTGTAAAACCAATTGTTTAGCATTCGGTTAACCATAAAAGAAAGAAAGAAGCGTTTGAAAGATCCTGACAATTGACATGGCAAGTTCAGGAATAAGTTTTTATTAAGGCAAAGCTTGAAAGTGTGTTTGCTCGTTTGCTTTCAGGTTAGTAGAACGACCACAGAATATATCTGGTTTATGACTTATTTAATAAATAAAATTTCCTATTTCGCGTTACATGTTATTAAAACATTTCCAATCCCTTCGCTTGTTTGAAAAATCAGGAATGTAAGTCCTAAGATAAGGTCGTAAGCTCGTTAGAGATAGGACTACAATCTACAACCTTTCTGTAAAGGATTTGCCTGAGCCTCTATCCTGGAATTGAGTTATGGGGTATTATTCTGAGCTGAATAAGTCGAAGTGATAAACGAGTGTGATTCTAGATTTAATATGAGAGCGCCATTTGAATTAGAAGGTGAATTCAGTAAACGCCCTTTCTTTGATTCAACGAATTTTACGACCAAATAAATTTATCCCTCGTGACCACGGATTCTGCAAAGCCTCCAAAATAAATTGTAAGTTAATTAATACATTTCGCGTTTTAAACAGTTAAAAGTGTTTTATTGAAATTGCATTTCTGTTTTTAGTAAATTCTAACCTATGAACTAGTAAGTGTAGTTTCTCAATTTTTGGAATACTATACTTTTGAAATTGAATTGAAAGTAATATTAATAGTTAATGAAAATAATTTTAGTATTAGTTAGTTATTTATTTTTTAGTTAGTATATTTTCTGTAGTTAGTTACTCTTTATAGTATCGGAAGTGTACATTCGAATTGTCGAATAATATTGAGCTTATAAATTTGAATATTTCGCCAAAGTTGTGACCAAAATACAAGAATTTTATTTGTTCAGAATTCCAGCCTTAAAAGCACGGGGAGTCCAATTTTGAATAATTAAAGAAACTTCTTAAAATGTAGCTTTTACGTAAAAGTTTTGAATCGAGATGAGACAATAAAGTGGCGGTAGTTATTGAATAAGTTTGAGTTAATAGCGAAGTTCGTAAGCGTCATTAGAGGTCATCAACTTTTAATGTGTTTGGGTTTATTTTGTCCATAAATTATAACGAATCAAAGCGGTGTAAGCCGAGTTTAAGTTATTTGAATGTACATGCACGAACTTTGACGGGCTGATTGGTCTAGTGAAAGCAATGTATGGCTACTTAATGGGTCGTCGGTTCGATGCCAACCAACATGTTTATAATTTTCCAATTAATAATCTTTCTGTAACATATTGGACCTCGTCTGGAAATCTGGATATTAAATTATTGGTAGGAATTTATAAATTACGTCCGGGTCACCGTCAACATGAAAAAACCGTGAAGCTTAATCGTGTTTCGGTTTTAATCTGTGGGTTTCCGAATATCCAAAGCCAAAATAGGTCCATGGCGTATTGTTTAGATTCTATAGGCTAGAATATATCACCTACCATCTAATAAACCTCAAGCTTCTCTGTCATCCTCTATTTTAAAAAAATGCCTTTCAAGGGCATTTCGAGGTTTTTCGGTTCTAGAATAACATAGATTTTTCTTTCCAGTTGTAACCAGCCTCCGAGACGTCAGACTCTTGGTCGAACCTACAATTGTAATAAGAGGTGGTACAGCCGCGCTAATCTGCTCAAGAGATATGCAAGGAGCACCATTGTACTCAGTCAAGTGGTACAGAGGCAACCACGAGTTCTATAGATTCACACCTATGGAGGAACCAGATACTCGGGTCTTTGGATTACCTGGAATATACGTCGACGTAAGTTCTTGTTCTTGATTTTTTGGTAGGAGAAGAACTTTTAATTATTTTTTTAATTTCGGATAATTTAGTTTCAAGTAAATAAACTATAATCTCAATGTAATAAATCTAAGACTGTTCTTCTTTTGAAAGTATTTACTGATTCTTGGAAGCGTTTTTATACTAATATATAAAGTTGAAAGGTTTAATTTGTTTATTTGAACGCGCTTACCCAGGAACTATGCGTTCGTATTGTAAAGTTCTTTTTGTGTTGGTTACATCGCGCAACAGCAGGAAATGTGAGCAAAACGGGGGAAATTTTTCATCTCTGAGGGTTTCAGATGAGTACGCTGCAAAAACGGTTAAAGACACCCAAAAATATGTATAAAAGAATTTAGGAAACAATTTTTTATACATATTTTTTGGGTGTCTTTAAATGATCTACAAAAATGTCCGCGACACTATATGTGTATCTTATAAGATTAACTTGCAAGAACGACCCGACCCGGGACCCAAATGACGGGTCGCAGGTGACAGGACGCGATCGATGTTGTGGAATTTGGGTGCCCAAAATAACTTGGTCGCTGATTCAGCTAGTCGAATGTAAATAGGAGCGTTTAAAAAATATTGCTTTTAGTTTACGTGAATCGTACCTACATAAATACTACACTATAAAAAATAGTTCAGACGTACAATAGTACTATGGACTCATAAGTATCAGAAACGTCGAATTTAAGAGTAAAACGTCTATTTAATGATATTTTTTTCTAATATTTGATTACATATCGTGATTACTTTTTATCACTTATATGATTTATTTATTCTATATACTTACACTTTGTATGTATATTTATATTCTTATATACATTTATATAACTTAGTACCCATTAAGTCAAACTAAAACCTTTGTAATTTCAACAAGTTTCACTTAACAATACAATATTTAAGATGTTTGGTTTTGGCAACATAAGACGAACACCTATTTCAATTGTAACTGTCATACGTTTGAAATTTAAGTCCTATTTGTGTATCTGAGTTGTGTTCTAGTGTCACAATATAATTACAGTACATTTTAAATTAGTAAGAAGCAATTTATAAAGTACAATTAAACACGTTGAATATGGAATTAATAAAAAGAAATAATAATTTCAAGCCTCTATATGTCTATGGAATATATATATCTTTAGATATCTTTAGATAGTATGATTTTAACCACAGACTGATTTGAACTCGCGAAGGGTTGATTTTCCCGAAAATAAAATTAATTTTCAATAAAAAACCGAACCGCAACTGTATTGAGATATGTTTGGCAATAAATCTGATTTAAATGACGTAAATTGCTCGTTTTTGAAAAGTTAAAAAATAAATGAGGTCTTGATCGGTGTGCTTGACATTTATGCCGGGATCCGTTTGAAATAACACTCCTATCCTCCGAGCCTTGGGCGCGAAGATATTATCTCCAGACGCTGTAAGCGATCAACTACATTTTAGAGTTTACTCGTATCTTGTGTTATATAAACGCAAAATGTTTCTTAAAAAATCTACGTGCACTAGGAACTAGCTTGACATTTACTATTATCATCAGAACATTCACACATATTATAAAATAAACGTCGTTAAGAAATCACAAATGTCTTGAAGTAACAATTTAACTAATTCTTAAAAAAATTGCCTACAAGCTCCAATGGTATGATTGGGGCGTAGATTCTATTCCCACCGAGTTCTAGAGCATATTGAAGATCTGTGGACTAACTTGCGTAACTTCTTCAGTTAAACCAGTACTTGTCTGTACTTACATATGTAATTAAATAAATGTATATTACTCAATGAGCTGACAATTATGAAAATAAAAGAAATATGTAATTGTAAAAGTACTGATTTAATTATAGTACCTTTGATTTCAATTCATTGTCGAAAATTATAATAAATAATTGAACGTTTGCTAAAGGACATAAAGACGCGTATAAAAGAAATAAGTAATTTGATAATTATAGACGGGCCATGGTGGCTAATTGTAGAATTGTAGAGAACTGAACACTGTCTTCGAGTACCTTGTCATTAATTTCAAGACAAACTTGAGTGTATATAATAAATAAATAATTAAACTGCGTTTGAACCAGTCTTAATAAGACTATGACGATGGAAATGTTCAATCTAAAATCGATTATTAATGAAACTTTTCTGTGAAAATTGTTTTTTTTTACGACACGGGCAGCACTTTCGCCAGCGTTCCGTGCTCTTGCTCTAACCAATTGAGCTACCGTGTGCCATCGTTCAAAATTGCTGTACTTTCATTCACAATAATTTTCTTTCTAATAGTCTTTAAGCTAACGAGCTTCTGCAGTTCGTTTGGAGGGGTTACACAATTTTGTGTTGCTAAAGCATTCCCGAGAATTTTTAGGTATATTATATAACAGGTTGTATAGATACTGGGAGTTTAGGAGTCCTACAAATATGTTTCAGTTCTAAGCACAGTAGCGGGTTTAAAAAGGTTGTATAAACACGGGTTGCTTACTTAACGTATTAACAATGATATCATAATCAATAAATAAGACACGCAAATTCCTCGACGTTTAATGTTTCGGTCTTTCAACGCGAGATCGTTAATTAAAACCGTAATTTTTTTGCGTAACTCGATCTTATTTCTTTTTTGAAAACGTTACTATGCAATTTATTCTTGATTTTTAATTTGTATGAAGCACTCCGACATCGTTTTTAAATTCAACGGGAAAGCGTCATGAAATAATTATGAACTTGGATGTTTAAAATTAATATTATGAAGCGGTCTAGCATTTCAGGGACGCGATTTTGTAATTGTTTCAGGGTCTGGATCTATTGAAATAAGTTAACATCAAAAAGACACGTGTCCTCAGTCACATATGTATATGTACAGGTTAAAAATAAATTTAATCTGCTTCGATTACAGAATCGAGTTGTTTGGATCTATTTATTCGTATCACTTACAGTGGCGTAGCGAACTACATTATTCCCCTGGTAATAAATTACGCTTTTAACCATTTAGTGAAAAGAGCTATGAAATAATAACTACATCTATACTCATATATAAAGATATCTTATTATTATATAAAGATATATATATAAAGGTAATATATTTAACTAGCTTTTCAGTTCACCCCTTTTTTACGTTAAACGTTCAAGATAAACGTGTTTGATGATTATTTGTCTCCACTGTTGCTGCAAAGGATCCGAAACGTCGGGCCGTAGTTAAAATAATTTTCTAATAAGTTTAATTAATATATATCGCGTTTTAAACCGTTAAAGTGTTTTATTTAAATGTGTACTACTCGCGTAAACTATAGACAGTATTTAGTATATAATTTATTTAATTTTCTTATATCAATGGACGTATCATAGAATAAAAGGATTCCTTGTATTTGAAATCCTTTTCAATATATTCAAGGCTTCAATATGATTTTATTTCTCGATACTCGGAGTCGCAACAGAAATGTCAATTTCTCGAAACACTTTGATCAGAACGAAATTTGATACAAACCGTAGCAAAAGGATGTGGAATATAAGCGTCCGGAGATATCTAAAATAAATATTTTTTCTTCTCCCCTCTTGGGTTTTATATTTCAACCATCGATGTGGAACAGTTAATATTCATATTTCACTTTTACGAATAATTAAGACGAATATTTTATTTTTAACTTATAGAGCCTAGTCATAAAATAATTTTATACGTTTTAAAAGAAGGTTCATAAGTTTTAAAAGAATTTATAATAGTGATGCTATGCATTGTTTATAAATTAAAATATTACTATAACATTTCGCTTCTATTAAGTGCAATATTTTACCTTCCTCGATAAATGCTATTAATAAAGATTTTTTTTTCTAATTCTAACTAGTAGTTCCTGAGATTAGCGCGTTCAAACTTACAAGCAAACTAACGCGAACACGAAAAAGAGTTAGAATACGTTGCATGCTATATTATTTATGCTAAATCAGATATCGAATTGAAATTCCAGATGAATCGCTCAAACGGGTCGCAAGTTCTGCTCCGTCGAATGGACTTGGGTCTGGCTGGCAATTTTAGCTGTGAAGTGACCGCCGAGTCGCCCTCCTTTGCAACGCAGATCGCTACCAGGATCATAGATGTGATTGGTACGTCTATACTTTGATTTGATTTTGTGATCCAAAGGTTACGTTTTGTTAAGGAATGTGGAGGTATAATTCTAGTTCAGCTGTAATTTAGCAAATCTTAGAAAAAATACTGACTTTAGTTTACGCGAGTAGTACACATTTAAATAAAACACGTAAACGGTTTAAAACGCGATAAATTAGTTTAACTTATTTGAAAATGATTTTTAACTTCGGCCCGACGTTTCGGATGCTTTGCAGCAGCCGTGGTCACGGGGAGACTAACGACTATCAGTCTCTAAAGCTAGTTTAGTTTATATTGTTTTTATGGTAGTGGAGGACAGACAAGCATAGTGGTCACTTGATAGTACGTGAAATATCCTAGCCATATAATATCTAAATAAGATGCTGTGGTACCTATTTTGGCTTTGAATATTCGGAAATTCGCAGAGTGAAATCGAAACGCGATTAAACGGCTTTTCCAGCTTTGGACAAAGCCATCCATTTCATGTCCAGATTTCCAAACAAAGTGAGTCCGACATGTTTCAGAATAAATTAGAAAAAATTGAACCTGCGACACGTTGAAGTAGAAAGACAATAACAATGAGCTCGTTGAACAAAGCAACAAATCCTATTTTTACGATTATTTTTATTATTAATCATTCATTTATTATAATATAAATTTATCATATAATGGTCGTGTAATTTATTCAGCTTATTCTTGTGGATCTAGGATATAGTATCCATATACAAAGGCTATAAAAACTGTTAAAACCTTAGTGAGTTTTATCAAAATGTGTTTAGTATTTTTTGGCAAATAAGAGCCAATAAAGCATTCTACATTTAAACATCCACAGTAGAATGGAACATCGATGCTAACGAAAAGCACAAACGAGTGTATATTATACTTCAATAAGTTCGACCACTGACACTTTAAAAGCTCCGATAACAAGTTGAAAACCTAAATACACAGCTGAACCGCATTATATTTTCTAAACACAACGATTTTCCAAAACTTTTCCAGCTCGGAGCTCTGTTGTAGTTCAAACTGAGCCATGTAAACATCTATAGCGAGTTGAGTCGGTTTGAGTACATTGATGGAAACATCGTTTAAAAACACACAGTTCTAAGTGAACCTTTTTCAAATTTGTTTTCGTATAACGGCTGAATAAAGTCGCGTCATGGTATTAAGAAAATCGAGAGAAAAATGTTAAATATTGTAAATTTCGACCGCCTGTGTTGCTCATATGTTAAACGAATTATCTAGCTTTGCATGGAATTATTAGCATTGGCATGGAAGGTCCTGAGTTTGGCGTGAGTAATATATTTAATGAGGGTCTTTTTTACAGCACAAATTTTATGCACGAGGCAAGATCTGTAAACGTTTAATTATGTTTTATTTTATAAGACGAACACTCGCATTTGGAAAACCATACACACACAAGGCTTTTCTGATCGAATCTACGGCTTGTTCATTATTAGCCATCGTTAATTGCTGCCCTTAAATCGTTCAACCACAAAAATATACAAGCCACCTCGTGTAATCATAACTTCCTATTTGAAATGCAATTCTTAATGAGATAAAAAGTTTGGCAACTCGCTACTACTGAATTATTCAGAAATAATCAATATGTATAAGGAACAAAAAGGTCAAGCTTGGCCTTTGATGTTGACGTCAGTACATTAATTTTTATCTGAAAGATGTCAGAGTTGCCGATCCAGTGATCCGAAATAAATTAAAGAAAGTATCGGTAACAATTTTAATATAATTAGAAGAAGGTTTACAGTTTATTGGACTTTACAGTAATACAGACGCAAATTTTAAGGTGACCTGACACATTGTTACAATTATTTATGACTTACGACTCGCGACTTTGTCCGCGTAGAACAGTTATTTTATACAACACGGTCGCGTCCCTTCCCGTCGTTCTTGCAAGATAATCTTAAATGATAGACATAACGTCGTGTGCTTTTTTTTAGTTTATTTAAAGAGGGCGTTTATAGCTGTGTGTATAGACTTCGTGCGTGAAATGGATATTTTATTTATTTTTGCAAACAACCAATTCGGCTTTATTTAAATTATACCTTTCTAACTTTCAAGAACGACGGGATACGCCCGTCGTTCTTGAAAGTTCATCTTAAAAATAAAAAGGCATATATATATACAGTCGCGAATATTTTTTAGACCATTTAAAGAAGATTTATTTCATACAACATTTCGGTATCTTGAACCGTTTTCGCAGCGCAACAGAAACCCTAAGAGATATTCCCTGTTTTTTCCACATTTCAGATAGTTTCTTGGCTTTTATTGGTTGCTGCCTGATGTTTTATAGCTTTTCTCGATAAATGATACAAACAGCACATAACTAATATAATAGTTTAAAATTCAAACAAACAAAGTCGTTAGCTTTATAATGTAATTCCGTTTCCTCTATACAGAGATATGTATTCCTATTGTATTTATTGTTTATATACGCTAGAATCAATTGATCAGACTGTTACCTCCAACTAGTATTGAACTGGAATTTGTTAAAGGTGCAGAGGCAAGAAAGAAAGTAGGTCTAAAAGGGGGTGTAAGGCTGCGTCCGCACTAGGCAAACTGTTAGCCGCCGACTGAGTTAGTATCGGTTTAGTACGCCCTTCCATATATTTCAAATGGAGTGTTCACAGTTTGCTAGTTTTGCGCTCACTGTACGCAGTTTGCAGCGTTACGCGCGCCGACTATTTTAGTGAGCGGCCGAATCCCACCAAAACTGGTTCCAGTCGGCGACGGTGAGTGGTTGTTCGCCGGGCGTAGTGACTCAGTTTGCCGCAAACGCATCACTGAAAATCCAAGATGTCCTTTGATACGGAAAGGTTCATTAGTCATCAGCAAAAGTAAAGAAAAAATTCAGTCGGTCGGCTAAATAAGCAGCTAACTCTTAACAGTTTGCTGGCGACGCACGAAAATTGATTTGAGCCTGCAGCTAACTCAAATTTCAGTTCGCTGCAAATTTGCGGCTCACTCAGTCAGTCGCTAACTGTTTGCCTACTGAGGACGCAGCCTAAAACTGACGGGAAACGTTATGTAGATGTGATTGAAAAGAACAGGAAGAACCTGAAGTGGAGAAGAAGAATTGGAGTTAATACCAACACGGAAAAATATTTTTCGAATTTCCTGATCCTAGGATATAGTAAATAACTTCCAACCGCAATTTTTCTTACTGCAGCAAACACAAGAAATCTTTTTTTAAATATCCTTTACAAATCTTTGTTCACGGGTCTCTTTAGCATTGTAAAAAATAATATGTCCTTTTCTCATTTATGCTTTCAGGACTGAGAAATGTGTTGTGTCTTTTGTGCGGTTGGAATTTCATTTGCCGTTTGTGAAAACGTAATAAGTTCGCTTGTTTGTCCCTATATAAATTCATTTCTGTTTTAAATGCGAATAATCAACATTTTTTAAGTTAAATAGTGTATGTAAATTACGCAAGTAGTGATTATAAATATTACATTAAAACTTTTTTAACGGTTTAAAACAATATAAAGGCAATCGCGAGGACGCCGTGAGTCGGTTCTGCAAAGGCCAAAGACCCACCTTGTTTTGTCCAATACCAACTACGGCTGACATTAGGGACACCCTCGTTGGAAAATCATGTCTCCTGCAAATGTGTCTATATTTGTAAATAAGTTACCTAATAAATTTCACGTTTTAAACCGTTAAAGGGTTTTATTTAAAAGTTTTTAAGCTTACAACTATTTATTATACTGTTCTATGAATTGTATCATTCTCTAAAATTCACTTAAATATTTAAAAATACCAGGCCTCAAATTAAAATTATGTTAACTAATTTATTTCGCGTTTTAAACCGTTAAAAGTGCTTTATTTAAAAAATAACCTCATTTACGCTGTACAACGTTACAAAGTAACAGTGCTATTTATGTCTATCCATGACATAAATAATACTATGTCATGTATGATCTATGATTAGCCACGATTATCCAAAAGTTCGGATAACCTCAGAATTCCGATCTTGATTACAGAATTGAGTTGGAATAGGTAATATTGTTAGAATTTCTATCTACAGATGAACTACAAAGTTCCTAACTATCTTGAAGACAATGATGTAGAGACGGACAATTTGTAATGTTCCCTAAGTTTGGATCCATTTTATCCTGTTCAAATATCTTGTACCTACTTGAACTTATGTTTGAAATAGATAACTTTTAAGGGTGCGAAATCAAATCAGTCTTCAAAATTATAACATAATAATAAAGTGCGACAAATAATCAACCGGCCGTGGGATTTTTTGCCGCACCGACCGTTCGATTTCACCATATTCAACATGTCATCTAATTAATTCTAATTTTTGGCTTTCCCTTCACTTCAGATTGCTTGCAAGAGATCGCTTAGCGATAAGGCCGCCTCTTAGTTATAAGCTAGTACATTAGAATTTATTCTTGTAAACCATTCCTGTGGTGTTTGTGATTAATAGAGTTTAATAAATAAATAATTTATAATTTTTCTAAAATGCGTTAAGACTCTATTACAAATTTGGATATAAAATGGGCGCTAGAAATATCGAAGGCTACGTACCGCCGTCCATAGATTAAAAGCCCGGAAGGTTGAATCGCATATCCGTTTCAGTCTTTAAACTTTTTATTATACAAAGCTGAAATATATCGACATTGGAGCTTGTTTAGATGTTGCTGCGGTGTTTCACCTTCCATTAAGTGAGCTCGTATGTCCTCTATCCTTTATCCTATACCATCTCCTCTATCATAAAAAAAGTGTTAAAAATTAAAACATGTCGAGTACAAGTCTCTGTGACTAATTGTCTCATCGTATAATCAAATTGCTCGAATGCAGATCATAATAAGAGAAACCGATACATATTTCACTTATTGACTTGCATGGGACATTAATTCGTGAATAACTGCGCTACGCTAAAGCCTGTGTAAACGTACCAATTGGCAACAGATTGTCCATAGCATTTTGCAACCGTATTGTACGTAGTTTACGCGAGTAACGCACATTTAAATAAAACCACTTTTCATGGTTCAAATCGCGAAGTATATTAGTCAATTTATTTTTAATTTAACTAGGTCCGACGCGACTAGTAAACGTGTTTTTTTTAAATTTTGTATCCGTTAATTCTGTTACACTATCATCTCTGTGTCGCAATATTAAACAAAATAGTTTTTATGTAAACCATTCCCGTGGTGTTCATAAATAATAAGGTTTAATAAATACATATATCGTAGTCAATTGTTTCGTGATAGGCATAAAGACTTATTCAAATAAATAAATCAATTAATTAAACAGATATAGTTTCTGCCTGTCTCACGTCGACCCACATAATAGAAATGTTTTTTTTTTTTTTTGTCTTTAAATAAGGAAGTATAGTATATCAATGTAGTAGCTTTAAGAAGTGGTCTATGATGTATCAAATACCGCATTGGAAAATGAATTGGAACAATTAAGTCCATAAGATTTTAAAGAACCGCCATATAACAACTATTTCGTCCCAATTTAAAGACGAATAATTTGGAAATTATAAATCTAATATTAGCCTAACTATATGGAAATACATTTCAGCTTTACCGACATCGATACCGATTTTGAAATCCGACAAAGACCGCTACCAGCCTGGGGAGGTCCTGCGAGCCAACTGCACGTCACCACCAGCAAGACCTTCTGCCAACGTTACGATATATGTTAATGAAGAACCGGTTAGTATCTGTATAACAAGATGCCTCTGAAAGATTTATTCTGTTTTCTATACTAATATATAAAGCTAAAGCCTTTGTTTTTTTATTTGTATGTTTTAACGCGCTAATCTCAAGAACTACGGGTTCGAATTGAAAATTCTCATTGTGTTGGTTAGAGCATTTATCGAGGAAGGCTATAGTATAGCTATTATACAAGCACAGATACAGCGGGAAATGTGAAAAAAATTGGGAAATCATTGCATCATGCAAAAACAGTTCAAGATACCCAAAAATATGTACGAAAGAACAATTCCTCTTTGTATGATCAAAAAAAATCCGCGATGCTGTATCTCTATCTTTTAAGATTACCTTGCAAGAACGACGGGAAGGGACGCGACCGATGTCGTGGGTAACAGCTTAAGTTTATAAAGATGAAGGGGTTTGCGAAAACTAATTTGGACGCCCAAAATAACGATTATCGCGGAAGAAATCGCTAACACAGCTAGGTCAAAATTAAATTTTACTCCATAATAAAGATTAAATATTCCCCAGATGCGCGCGACGGAAACTAGTCTTCGCCCGTCTGACAGCGGCCTTTTCACCACAAAAGTGAACGTAGAAATTAAAATTACTCCCGGGTTGTTCCCTGGGGGCAGATTGAGAGTCGCCTGCTATGCCAGCATGTACAATGTGTACAACAAGTCTGCCAAACTAGACTTTTTGACGCCCGAAACGGATCCAAGGCCAGAGAGAAGTAAGTATTGCGATACGCTTTAGATATAAAAATCGTACCATTATTGGTTGAAGAAATATAATTGGTTAGATAAATTTTTGGTATTTAAAAAGAAAATAAGTGTAAATACAGGCGTAAACACACAGACAGTAGCTTACGTCTGTAGTACACATTTGAATAAATCATTTTTAATAAAACGCGAAATGTTTTGGTTGAACTTCACAAATTATTTTAACTACAGCCCGGCATTTTAAACCGTTTAAGGTGTTTTATTTCAATAAAAATAAGTATATATTACTCATTTAATAGGCATTATTTTGCCATAACCATCTAAATACTAATCTGGACAGAGTTAAACCGAAATAAATGCTGTAGCTACGTTTTGTCGTAATCTCATAGATGGCGCTAAATTAAATATCCATTCGCTCATACACGGGACATTTAAATTTTTGTTTGTATTTTGTTTTTTATTGCGTATTCTATTCCAGTAACTTTTTTGTAACAATAAAATAAAATATAAATAAAGTAATACTTAGACTCATTCTATTACCTCAATTTCTAAATGAGTTTAAAAGCTTCAATAGAAATATATGAGTATCCAGGTCAGAATACAAAGTTTTCACTTCAGTACATCAATCTGTTATTGTTCAATATGATGATAAAAATTTTATTAGCCTTGCTTTTCTCATTTCATAATATGCTATATTATTTCAATCTATTTTTCAGTAACTCTCAACGGCGGCGCACCCAGAACTATCTTGAACTGGTTTCTACTATTCCTAGTGTGTTTTCTGCCTATGGTGATGGCAGACGACTATTCATTCGAGGAGGATATTTCTAACTATTACTATAACAATTATGACGAAGAAACTCCAGGCTTGGTGTCATCTTTAGTAGGAGGTTAATGATAACTAGGAAATGTTTTGTTTGTAAAGGTTGGCAATTAATTTGCATTATTATAACAAAGTTAAAAACTTTTAATACTCGCTGTATTTTAACGTAATCATTTTAAACACCAATGATTAGGTATATATTGCTATTTAAATTTGATTAAGCATAATAATGATACATATACTTATTATTTTCGATTAATTTTGCTTTATGTGAATTAAGACGAAATTTCTGTAATGAAAGAGTACTTCATAGGTACTTTTAAAAGTAAATACCTACTAAGTGTTATAAAATGGGATTTGAATGTTAGTTTAAAAAATTGTTGTACCTGGGATTAATTAAAAGGAACGGATAAGATTCGTAAAAGTTAAAGACAGTTAAGTCTAGTTTAATTATTTTAAAGTAGAGAATATGTCTATGGGTATCTAGTATATAAGTGGACATACAATTTTACAAAACTCCCTCACAATCTCACCTTGACGCTGAACTCTTTTCCTGAAAACTGAAGCTTCCGACCCACTTCCAAAGCTCGGACTATATCTTCATACGACTTCGACCCCGGCATGTCAGGGGAACACAATTCACACACTAATTCATAGCACTACGCGCCAACCACCGTCACCAACGTGGCCACTTTTTATTTATCTTTAATCCCGTTTAAGCTTATGAACCCGACGCACATAAGCGTCCCAACAATTGCCATTTCAATTTCACGTTACCAATAGGCATTGTAAATAACTATCCTGGTCGCCAAAACGTGTCAGACGTGGGACGCTAGACCGAGAGTGACTGACTTTATTACGAATGTTACTAATCTACCCACATAACAACAACCTTTTATTATAGAGGACAGAGAAGCTGCTTCTTGGTCTCTATGGTCCACTTGATAGAAGGTGAAATACTCTGACCATAAACATCTAAACACTGTCTACCTATTTTTGTCCTTGAAAAGTTTAAAAATCAACGTACTGGAACTGAACGGGATTAAACACCATTTAATATTCAGATTTGCAGCGGAAATGCAACATGTTTACAAATGTTATAGTGTAATTGATAGACATGTTTACCCTTGAGATCGAACCCGCTACCCATTGTTTATTAACCATATATTGCTATCAACGAGCCCGGTAAAATAGCCACATTTGTCAAAAAAACTGTACATACTTTGTAAATATTTTCTTAAGTAGCACTACGCAAACGTTAAAAGATTGGTTTAAAACTTTTGTGTTGAAAACAAGTACTTTTTTAAATAAAACACTTTAACGGTTTAAAACGCGATATAACTAATATATCGCGTTTTAAACCGTTAAAGTGTTTTATTTAAATGTGTACTACTCGCGTAAACTATAGACAGTATCAAACGAGTACTTGCTTACATAAAATAATTAGACTAGTTAGGACAATCGTGTTGCATTCGTATTTTAAACTTTCATCTTTGGTTTAGGTTTTCGATTTATTAGCTTTCATCCAAAGAAATAAGCATTATACTATACTTTAAGAGTTTCAAAGTCTATACAGTTTTAAATTTGGTGTAAAAATTTGGTACATAGAGATAATGCAATCCGAAGCGATTGCCAACCGAACTTTTTCTTTTTTTTGCTTGGTCCTTGATTGGGATACCTGTTCAAACGAAGGACACTATTTATTTTTCACAACAATTACTTCAATTGTTTTTTTTAAATAACCATAATAATCGAAAATAATGTATTGTCTGTATTTTGTTGTAGACTTTGTTATTACTAATAGATTAAGAGATAGCTACAATTTTTATTAATTTTTATAGTCAAAATCCTTTCCTCTTTTGAAAATCTGTTTTTATGGCCACTGTCTACGCCTCTATAGGACCTTATATATTTAGCAAAATTAGTTATTTTAATATAACAAAAACTACTTTTAATTTAAAGATAATCTAAAAGAAATACCGTTTAATCCCCTTTTTTAGGGTTTAAAGTTTTTGTGTTTTATATCTTTTTATGATCTATACATTTTCATAAGAGAGCTGTGAAACGGTAACATGGTCACATTTACAAATAAAAAAACAAAAGCACTTCGAAATTCGGTCTCATTATTAATAAGTCTAATTGTACGAGAAAATTCCGTCAATACCTTTAGGACTTGCTGTGTGATATATTTATTTTGTTCTAGAATTACTGCGAATTTGCTAGTTACTACCTTGTACGAATACGGAATACGCAACGGCGCGTTGAGTTTCAATTTGTAATGGGTAAAATATAAATTTGTATTTTCGTCAATTGATGTATGTTTACGAATGGGCAAGTATACAATTATGCTACTTCTATTTTTCATTGTATCTATCGCTTGTCACTGCCCAACACTTAATGAAATTAAAAAATTGCGCTGTGTCAGTAGAATTAAGTTAAGAGAAGCAAAGAGGTCAAATTCTGCTAATTTGAATGGTATGTAGTTCGTACGGTTTGTAGTATTTAATATTTTGATTGCACGATAATATTTATTTCAGGTCTTGTTTTTCATAACATTTCTATAACCTGATGATGATAGCCTTTACTAGAATTATGCAGACAGAATCCTGCAATTCTTTTCAATACACTTGTCTAATCTCATTTATGTAGACGTTTCAGTTACCATAATAAATCATTTCCAATGGGTAGGTACTGTCATTACAAATCATTACCGGTAGCTGCTAACTTAAGCTAAATATCTTTTTATATTATAATACTTAATGTTGTTTAGACGTAAAGGACACAATGCAATTTTTGTAACTCGAGTTTTATAATTAAATTATAATTTGCACGGTCTTTTATAAATTAGCAATTTTTATATAGATTTTTTTATAAACTTAATTCGGGTTTACTCTTAAGAACTGAATGTAAATAAATTAAGTGGAAATAAATGAATGACACTTCAATACGTGTGAATTTTATTTAAATTTTGGTACCATTTTAGGTAAAATTATACTTGGCTTAAAATATTATCTATGGCGTAACTTATTAAGTATTAAACATTCTAGTTGTTTTACTACCTAACATACTAAACTATGGCACATAAAGATAAAACATAAAAGTGTTATTTCTAGTAACAAATTATTATGTAACAAAGTACATAACACTAAATAAGTTAACTTGTGTAGTTAAAACCGTAAGTGTTTTATTTAAAAGTGTGTATTTATGAGCTAGTAAAAAAATACGTAAGCTGTTGCATTGTCAGTGCAAATAAGTGTAATATAATATTAAAATAGCACATATAAAATTAAATAGAACAGACTAATTGTGCCCTGCGTCTCCGCATAAATGAGCTGGGAATTATAAAAGCAACGCAATTAGGGGCGCGCTAGAAAAATCAAATTAAACCTCTAATGAACAAACATCGTCCATGAGTTCCCTGTAGGACGCATAGAGTAATTCTAATATAGATAAAGATGACTTGCTGATATTTTGTTCTATATAATAATAATATATTCTATATTTAAACGAGTTGAACTCTGGTACAGCCAGCACACAGCACCGGCAACTCAGTGAAAACTTGAATATTATTAAACAGTTTATAATAGTTAGGGATTAATTATGTGCAAATTGCTAAAATAACAAGCATATTAGTCCTATCATTAATATGGACCAATATATTGTTTATTAATTATGCCATCATGCTCAAAAATTACAATTTATATTGTACAAGTCCTGTCTTACGAATTTTCGATAGGGTAATGTGTCGCGGTGCGAATTTCAAATTTTTACCCACTGCAAAAAGTGTACAACGTCCCGAAAGAAGTCTTCAGCAAAATTTATAAAATAACAATTACAAGATATAACTTGTGTATGTGATATTGAGGACACAACTGACAACATGACTAGATGCATTGTTAGTAAATGGATAAGGTAAAAATCGAATCGTAACGAGCATTTACACTTCACGGAAATCTATAGACAATGGTTCATGATTCGTAACTGCGTTATCTTTTTACATATATTTATATTACATTTGGATTAAGAACACCAGTTCTAAATTCATTCGTCGTGGGTAATTTTGCAAAAATGAATTTGGATGCCCAAAACAACGATTCTCACGGACGACTACGGTCGCTAACACAGCTAGTTGTATATAAAAGAAATAGGGTAATTAAGCCCACAATCCGTCAGTAAGACCATATACCAAAGTTAAGAAGCCATAAGTAAAATATCTCTATAGCAACTTAATCTATGCTCCATCGAGCGCTCCTTCCGTTGTCGCATAGTTTGTCGCCGCGACTTCCGCACAAGAGCGGTATGCCACAAGTTTAGCTAAGATTTTTATTCTGGGTTAACTCTGGACACTGGGTCATTGCGCTTTCAAACGCTGAGTGCTTTGTCGAGATTTGACTTACTCTTTGAATATTCATCCTTTTTGTCGCTCGCGTGCAAAGTGAAAATAGTCTATTTGGGTATATTGTCAGCCCTTTCTTTCATTATTTACTGATATAAGGAACCAGTCGGCCTCCCACAACCAATTTAGAACAAAAGCGACTTCAATATGCGATGCTTTTAAACACAGCTAACAAAAATATCTTAAATACTGTCTATTGTTTACGGAGTAGTAAACATTTAAATAAAACACTTTAACGGTTTTAAACGCGATATATTAGTTAAACTTATTTGAAAATGATTTTTGACTTCGGCCCCACGTTTCGGATGCTTTGCAGCAGCCGTGACCACGGGCGTAAACCGTTAAAGTGTTTTATTTAAAAATATCTCGCGTAAATTAGGGAGACCCCCCTTTTTTTTTTTTAAAAAAAAAAAAGGAAAAGGGGGCCCCCCCCAAAACAAAAAAAAAACGAGGCCACCTCAAAATGGCGGGGCTTAAAAAAACAGCAAAAAAAAACTGACGGGCTGGCTCGTTTGTGTAATGGTAGCAATGTATGGTTAATAAACAGCGTGTTGTGGGTTCGACTTGGTCCAACATTTTTCTAATCAGTTTATAATTTTTCTGAAACATATTGGACTTCCTCTGGAAATCTGGATATTAAATGGTAGGTAATATCGAAATTCCGTTCGATTTAAGAACTACCAAACAAATGAATAAACCGTGAAGTTAAATCGCGCTTAAGTTACAGTCTGTGGATTTCCTAATAGCTTAAGCTAAAATAGGTCGATAGCGCATCTTCTTTGGGTATTATATAGCTGGGATATTTCACCAACCATCAAGTGATCACCATCACCACCACAAAATCCTATGCTTCCTCTATCATCAAGAAAAAATAAAAGACTAACTAAAATTTTAATAGACATATAAAGTAATTATTTACCTCGTTACTAAATATTTTCGTGTGTATCTCAAAGCGTTCTAAATAATACAAAATTCCCTGAAGCTACAGAATAAAATGTAAACCGAATCCGTATTTCTAAGAGAAACAATTCAAACGCCAATAAGGAAATCTAGGCGTCAACTTGCATTTCGCAAACACCTGGAAAAATTTTCAGACGTCTTCCCGGGTAAATCTCTTTATTTTAACATAAAAATAAATTCTAGGGTAAATTTCAGTGCTCGCTACAATTTCGTGTTTTAGCCCAGATGAAGACAATTTCTGTGAAAACTTTTCGATTCTAATATATAAAGCTGAAGACTTTATTGTTTGTTTGTTTGAACGCGCTAATCTCAGGAAAAAAGGAAAACTTTGGAAAATACGATGGATAATATTTATATTTGTGGGTTTCCGATGCGTACGTAGTTCAGGACACCCAAAAAAATGTATGAAAGAATAATTTCTCTTTAAATTATGTAAAAAAATGTCGAATACACTATATATCTAAATAAATATTGACTTGCAAGATGGACGGGACGCGACCGACGTCGTGAGTAACAGCATAAATTTATAAAGATAAAGAGTAGGTTCGCAAAAACCTAATGTGGCTGCTGAAAATAACTATTCTACGCGGACAAAGTAGCTGACACAGCTAATTAATATAATATATGAAATGACTGACTAAACAATTATATTAAGTATTACGTACTCATAACTCAAACAGTACTCTTGCATTGCGATAAACTTCTCAAGGTCTAATCGCAGAAATATTCTACGAGCAGAGCTTTTTTTTAGTTAAGAATACTTTCTTATACTCCTTGTTTTTTTGGTTTGGATATTCGTTACTGCGATGTTGTAATACAAACTTTGGTTAAACAGGGCAATTCGTGAGGCATAACAAAAGTCAACTAGAAAGTTTGTCGTAGACAATCCAACTATTAAACATGCAGTTACTAAGCCCACTGCCCTTACGTCTCTGTTGTAAGTTCAGGCAAGCCATTAACAATGCAAATGTAACCGGGCTGTTCTGAATTTCATGCCGAATTCATATGCTAATTGAGTTTTACCAAAAACCTCGGCATTTAGTTATTAAGGCCGCAAGCTGCCTTAGTTCTATCATAATCTCACCAACAAAACCTCAAGACTACATATTCGCAAAATATACAGTCGTATTTAAAATAAATAAAGCACTTTAACGGTTTAAAACGTGACATATATTCGTTAAACTTATTTGAAAATATTTTTAACTACGGCCCAGCCTTTCGGCTGTAAAGCATCCGAAACGTCAGGTCGTTATTAAAGTAATTTTCAAACAAATTTAACTAATATATATCGCGTTTTAAACCGTTAAAGTGTTTTACTTAATTGTGTACTCGCGTACTTCACTGATTAATTTTATGTTTTTGAAATCCCTATATGATCTGCTGAACAGAAACCTTTCATTACGATTCATCAGGATTCAATTCTAGAGTCTGTTTTTCTAAACACATTGCTCAGTAAATAAGGTTAACGTCACAACGCGATCACATCTGTAAGACTATCTTTTTTTTGTGAAAATTTAATAACAACAATGAAACATCATACTTTCGGACTATATGACTATATGTTTTTTTTTTATGTTTACAAAGGAATCGGGACCCATAGTAGTCACTAGACAGAGAGTTTTTTTTCCTTTAAGCTATTTCGTAGAAATTCTACTAAAGATTTTACTAATTTAGTAATAGCTTCGTGAACTGTTCAAAGAATCTCACTTATTATTTATTTACTAAGTTTGCTTTTTAATTACGTAAGCCAGAGTACTAGCAACAGCTACTTATTATGACTAAAGTAAAGAGTTTTTTAATACGATTAATATAAGTACCCGTAATATTATTACCCGAAGCACGAAATCCTAAGAAACTGATCCGATCTGAAAAAATACCTTAGTATTAAGTAATCTCATTTTCAAAGAAAACTAGGAGAGGCAGCTATCAGAATTATCCAGAATCACCTGTTCTCTGCTCTACTAAAACAACTTATTGTTCCGAGGGATTCAAACACAGGATCTTTAGGCAACACGTTTAGCCATTTGGCTACACTGTCGATAATATTTGAAGTACTAATTTATAGGTGAGAAATAAAAAAAGTCACGCGACCTTAACCCTAAAAGTAATCTATAAAACCCGCTATGTGCACAGTACCTAATTTCGCGTTCCGTTAATTTATGAGTGTACGAAGTTATTCTGCCGCTTTGTTTAACGAAAACTTTTCGAGAAGTTTTACATGTAGAGAGGGTTCTCTTTAATTCTCGTTTGCATGACTATATTATGAGATTTGCTCAAGATACGGCGAACTGCGAGCAGCGGATTGCTTTGTGTAATAACAAATGAAGTAGCTTTTCACATGTCTTCGTCTGACATTAATAATAAAGTTACACATTGATAGTCTATGAATACCGGAGTTCACTTAACGGAGAGCCTTAAAGAAATTTTGAAAGTTCAATAGCATAACACACCGGTCTAAGCAAAGTTTTGAAATTTCCAGCATAAAAAGAAGTAAGGCTGCCCCAAAGTCTTAATTAGAGATAAGTTGTAAGTCTTTTTTCTTAGTTTTTTTTTTCAATAAGATTACATCGAGGTTATAATAGTACACGTAATGTGCGTGGCGTATTGCTAAACGCTGCAATGAGCGCGACAAGGTTCAAATACCGAGATAATAAAGTGTATCGTTCAGTACATGAAGTCGGATCAAAAGGATAATGATGCGACATTTTGGTCTTCGTCACTGATTGATTTTACTTAAAGAAATCCACATTATTAGTCTTACAAATGGTGCCGGGCATTGTACGGCTAAAAATTTATGTGGGTTCGATCGCCACCTGACTCCGTCTGGAAATCTGGATATTGAGTGATAGTTATCGTAAATTCCGTCCGTCCCTCACGAACCACTGCCCATAGATGAAAAAGCCGTAAATTTTAATCACGTTTCAGCTACAGTATGTGGATTTCTGATTATCCAAAGCCAAAATAGGTCGATCTTGTGGAGATGTTATATGGCTAAGTAGTTCAATCTAATAACCTCCATACTTGTCTGTCCTTCTCTATGTTAAAAAAGTGGGAAAAACACTATCTTAAATACTGTCTATAGTTTACGCGGAGTAGTAACATTTAAATAAAACACTTTAACGGTTTAAAACGCAATTAGTTAAACTTATTTGAAAATGATTTTTAACTTCGGCCCGACGTTTCGGATGCTTTGCAGCAGCCGTGGTCACGGGGAGACACGACGAGGTCTTTTATTTAAACACTATCTTATCTAAAAAGAATAGACGCTATAGGATGAATTCTATAACACTATAGGATAAATGAATTTTAGTATCGACAATATATTTTGCACTTTAAATATTAACATTTTTATTAAATATGAATATTACAATGCATGTTTATTGTGAAAATAAATACGACGTAACAATAAAAACATCGCACTCATAAAATTTTATTTTCAATCACAGTATTTTTTATTCTCGCTAACATTGGATTCAATAACTCGATCGACATGTTTCAACAAACAAAATGATACGTTTATTTACATGGGTACTTTTCGTTTGCGAGAGTATTTTGGCGCGAAAACAAAGATATCATACGTATAAAGAACCGATTTCCCGCGTTACGCCTTATGATCCTTCCGGTAATGTATATATACATAAATATGTGATGTTTGTGCATCTGTTGTGTAATTTATAATCATAGGCCGCTAGTTCAGGTCCGGCTCGAAGGACCAAGTTGTTCGATTCACTAGTGTTGCGAGGATCTTAATAATGTGAAAATGCTAAAGTTGTTAAGTACTATTTAATGTTAATTAATTAAATTGTCACTGTCATTGCACTCAAAACATGAGTTTTTAACTATAAAAAAAATGTGTCTTAATTCTGTCGGTTGACCAATCTTTTAACATCAGTTTATTATTTTACCATCTTTTCCCTATTTTTTATGACTTATAGAAGCAATAAAAAGAACAAACATTTTTTAAACGAAAGAAAGATAGATAGATCCTGATGAGTTTAAAGAATAATAAGACATTCATACCATTTCATTATAATAACATAATTCATAATTTTCCAGTCATAGATAAAACTTGCCTATTGAAACCAGAGTCTGGTCCATGTAGAGGAGAAATACGAATGTACTTTTTCGATCCCGCTAATAAGGACTGCTCGACGTTCTACTGGGGCGGTTGCCAAGGCAACGGGAATAAATTCGATTCTAAATACGAATGCCTTCAATCTTGCCTGAGCGCACCGAATGCTAGGCGTAAGTACTTTGAAGTAACGGGTGACATAAGACACGTAAACGACCGGCGTGTTGGTATGGGAAATGTTGTGGGGCTCAATAATTCTTCTTATTTTACTCGACGACTATTAACGTCAGGATTTATTTCTAATTTACTAATAAGGACTATGAATTATTAACTTAAGAAAGTAAATTTAATTTATATTAGCGAGTTCCAACTCTACTTAGACATAACATTTATACACCTAAAACAGACTGTGTCCATCTATGTTTGTAAGTAACTGTAAGTAGTTTATATTAATAAAGTTGTTTTGCATCGCTCTTATCTCCAGACAAATAGTTTATCTATACTTATTTTATAAAGCTGAAGGGTTTGTTTGTCTGTTTGAACGCGCTAATCTCAAGAACTACGAGTTCGATTTAAAAAAATATGTTGGGTTTGTTGGACTCATTTATCATCATCAATAAGAGCGAAGAAATAGGGGGAAATATGAAATTCATCATCATTGTGGGCTTCCAGTGCGCGCGCTACGAAAACGATTGATTTAATCGAAAAATATGTATGGAAGAATGATTTCTCTTCTGAAATGTCCTAAAAAAGTATCCACATCAGTATAATATATCTCTAAGAATACGATGCCCAAAATAACCATTCCACGCGGACAAAGTCGTGGGCATTGCTAGTAATAAATAATTGTCAGTTTTCAAAAGTCTTGTACTCTTGTACCGATAGTTAAACTCAGAAGTAGGGTTTACATTTTAACTTATGCCTTAGGTCAACGACCTAAGTGGTGCAGCCTGACGTTTGACTACGGTTTTTGTTTCGGATCCCTTACAAGATGGTTCTACGACCCATTGTGGAAAGTTTGCAAGGAGAGGATCTATTCTGGCTGTGGGGGGAAACAAAAATAATTTTTACAATAAGGAGCAGGTCTGTTTTTTTATTTATATTATGTTGTTTTTAATTTTTATTTCGTTGTTATATTCGATTTTTGAATGATCTTGTGATTTAATTTTAGAGTATAGCAAAAAAAGACAAAAAGAGTTTATTATCTTAGTATTTTAACCCTGAGAGCGTCAATTTATTTCTTGAATTTACTGGATACATGTATTTAATCTTTATATATAGGTGGGACTTAACCACTACTACCGCCTTTCACCTCTGTAGAGCGTAGGTAGAGAGTAGGTTTAGCATTTCGTTAAACGTGAAAGGACCTGGGTTTGAATCTCGGGGAATCAGAAGGCACAGAAGTTTGATGAATTACTGTAATAAGGCCTGTAAGCGATAAGTGAAACGGTTACAAAAATGTGTTCGCTCCATGCCCCACGGGGGGAAAACGGGGTTTTATTTATTTTTTACTACTTATATCACCACTACTACTGTAACTACGTGTACGATTTGCCTTTTTCTAGTATTATATTATATTTTAGTGCGAGTCTATATGCAACTATAAAAATGGCGGACTGACATCGGCCCCAAAAGCAAGGGATAAGGTTAAAAAGATTTTGATAATTAATCCAATTGGAGCAACATCCAAGCGGGGAAAGTCGCAGTATTCGACAACTAAGGCTGTTGTAAAAAATATCACAATTAAAATTAATTAAAGAAATTAATTCAATCATTTTTATTTAATTGTGAGACAGAGGAGGACAGAAAATCACTTTATATTAGGTGAACTACTTCTAACATCTAAACAAGATGCGCATGCGAACTGTTTTGGCTTTGGACATTCTAACTGTGGACTTTACCGTTTTATCTACAGACATTGGTTGGAATGGAATTTTTCTCCGAACCATTAAATATGTAGATTTTCTAGTAATGTATTTTTTTAAAACGTGCGAATCAAACACATAACCGTATGAATACTGGACATTGGCCCAATATTGGTTATTGGACGAGCCCATCGGAACATTTTTTTTTACTTTTACTGTCAATGATATTAATGAAAACTTATTGCGTAAATAAAAACTTATTGCTGTCTGCCCCACGGTCCCAGAAGGGGAACGGGATTTTAGTTTTCCTCCATATATCTCCCATTTATAATTTCTACATATTTTATATAATTACATAACAACCTATACATTATTTTTGATAACAGTACGATTTAGTTTCTCCGTGTACGCATGTAATTGTGATACAAACTCAATTTATCACATAGTTTATAATAGTTTGTATTTTGTGTACCTTATGAATAAATAAATAAATTTCAACCAAATCAATAGTTTCAAAAACGAGCATCTTCACCATCGACCATTCTTTCTCCATCTCGAGTATGAGTTAGTTAAAAAAAAACAAGTTCTAAAAAATTAAATTTATTCTAACATATAATAAACAATTTTAATAACATAAAAAATAAACTTTGTTGATTTTTGTTACCTCGTCAGTTGCATATCACAGTAAAGTAATAATGGGTTGTAAATATTGAGTTTAAGCATAGTTTTTTTTAATACCTTCCTTACATATATATATAATTATTTTTATCACAAAGAAGATCTTAAATAAAAGTGTATAATTAAATTTGGTAATACGTTAGATCGATAATAGCTATTTATACTCTGTAGTCATTTGGATAAGCATAACGCAATATAATATATTATCTTTCTTTTGTTTGCTTTAGTTTAAGAGCTAGTTAGTATTAGTAGGATAATAAGCCTGGCACTAAATCAATGTTTTGGTTTTTCCTTTTAGAAATCAATAATATTTATTTCACCCATAATCCATCACATTAAGAAAACTAAATGCCCAAAAATACCTCTAACGTGTTTGTCATTTTTACTTGTAGTCACGATTTGTTAAAACGAAAATGTTCCATACATGTGGAACGTCATTATTTCAATTGACGACATTCAAATGAGTCGTGACTATTAACATAAAATTGTATTTATTACAACACCACAACCATATTGAGTAGTTGTTCATAAAGATACCAAGTTCAGGGATTCCAACATACTCTTATATATCACTTCAGACCTGAAACAAAAAAAGATCGATCAATAGTTAATTTATCTCTCAAGAAGAAATAATTTTACTATTTAAGTATTGTCTGTAGTTTGAGTAGTTCAAATAAAACACTGTTAAGGGTTAAAAACGCCGTTGCCTATAGATCTGCAACCCATCTGAAACGTCGGGCTGTAGTTAAAATAAATTGTAAATAACTGAACTAATATTTCACGTTCCAAACCGTTAAACGTGTTTAATTTCATTCTATTTCATCATTTTGTATGCCTATGTAGTAATATTAGTATTTAAAAAAGGTCTTACTTTCCATTCGTCACACTCCTAATAAGATTGACTACATAAGACGGACACACATCCAGATGCATAAAACGTGTGTGAAATAGAAGACCTTGACATGCGCAATACAAGAGGACTGGCAAGTGAAGTCTATCAGACAGAATGTTTTTCTCGTATAGAGTAGTGGAATAAATCTGAAAATAAAAATAAAATTAAAGATTATTATAAATCTTAAGAAATATATATAATAATGGTAATAACAATGGTATTTCAAGTTACATTTGCATAAAGCAAAAAAACCATCGAAGTTTGGATGGACAGAAAACCTGAATAGGTTTGTGTTCCATATAACTATAAGTTATATTGTAATGTGTTTTTTATGTAAATAAAAATAAAAATGGCTGGTTATATGAACTATAATAAATATTTCAAATGGCAAAGGTTTTTCTGCCACTTGAAGTATTTCGACCAAATATTAATTACCACAAGAACAATTCATGTGAGATCTTAAAAGAAAGTTAATTTAATGTTAATTTTTTATAAAGATTATTTCTTTTATACATATTTTTTGTGTACGTTGAACCGTTTTCACAGCGTACTCGACGGAATCCCTAAAAGATGAACAATTTTCCCTGTTTTTCCACATTCACATAAATGCTCCATCAAAAACAAAACATTTTCTATTCCAACCAGTAGTTCCTCAGATTAGCGGGTTCAATCAAACAAACTCTTCAGTTTCAACATATTCGAAAATAGTCGGAATTGCATTTTCAAAGCTTGTTTATTCTCTTAAGTTAATTTACTATGCAAAGTTTAAAACATACCTTGAAAGCTCCCGTCAATGCAGCTATCGCAAATCCCAGATTGGGCTTAAATAGGAACGATAAACCAGCGATGTATCCAGCAGGTAGCGCATATAACGCCGAGTCATATCCACGCTTTCGACACAAGTAGCAGACAACAGCCTGTAATAAGAAATTAAGTTACGATGTGACCTTTATCAATAAAAATGGGAGGTTTGTATGACTAAAAGTCAACGGGTCGTGGGTCGATCCCCACCGGGTTCGACATGTTTCAAATTTTTTATTTTATAATTCGTCTGGAAATCTGGATATGAAATAGGTTATAGGAATTGCGACATTCCATCCGGATCACGAACTACCCTCCACAAATGACAAAACTGTGAAGCTTAATCGCGTTTCGGTTTCATTCTGTGGATTACCGAATATCCAAAGCCAAACAGACACACAATTTTTAACCAAGTATAATTTAGTTTCTAAAGCACCTAAGATTAACGTTATTACACACGCGGTCGCATTCAATTTTTAAACGCGCCAAAGATAATACAATATTTTCTACAAATATATTTTAAGAGGAGTGTAAATTATATTTATGAGGTCTAAGGAGACGGTATATTATAAAGCCACATGTGTTCCAACAGAAAATAATACCGAAGTAAAATTATAGCAAGGAGGACTTTCATAAAATTGTGGGAGCCATTTTCATGTTTACGGCATGCAGCAAATTATGTTATGCGAAAAGGGATATTTTACTACACATTTGGCATATGCCTAGTGTGTAGTGTTCTAAACGTCGATTAATACTAAACAGCGCGTTTGACATTTGTACTTTATAGCAGAACTAGTAATTTTTAACCTACCTAGTGTTTCTAGTCTGTAATAAACAAATTACAAATGTGCGTACAGTTAAGATTTTTAGTATGTGTTTCCTGTAGTTTGTCTGAGTGACATTCAAATAAAACACGTTTAACGGTTTAAGGGGTTCTTAGCTTGTTTTTTAATTTGTAAACTTTAACAGTTTTTTTTTAATAGATACTATACCTACTTAAAAAGGGTAATAGTATCATATTCATATACGCCACATTTTTCATGCGCTATGGTCAATAATTTATTACTTGTCAAACTGGCGTGGTGGGTCTCATTTCAAAAACTCTCTCTCTCTAATGAAAGGATAATCGTTGTTTCAATCGTTCGGTGTTCACTGTTTTGTCTTCCCTTAAAGAGTTCCAAAACGACCGGTCGTTACAGTGTGGAAGGACCCTAAACACTTAAAGTTGAAAATATATATCGTACTCTATAAATACCGATATAGCTGCCGAAGAACAACGCCATATCTAAATGTCTGCTCCGAAGCGATGATACAGCCTTTAATGGAGCTCGTAACCTCGGCAGCACCGTTTTAGCAAGAGTAAAGGCCAGGCCGGTAGCGAAGTATATCGCTGATCCCTGAAAGATAAGTTGACATTATTGTAATGCAGAGAAGATCTACATATAAGAGAGGAAAATTTGACTCACCTTTAAAATGTATTTGGAGCACGGGCCCTCGTGTGGGCAGATATTTTTTGAATCGTCCGTTTTTCTTCGTACTCTTTCTGGTGTGAAAAGCCTGTAAATTTAAGATAGATCTTTTTAAAGTGTAATCCCACTTTAGTGTTAGTGTTTAGTCTAACTAGTTTGTTTAACATACAGGCTAGGAATTGATAAACCGGGCTATAGATATATTCCAGCTCCTTGGGTGAATTATCAAAAGTGCATTATTAGAAGCCAAATTAGCTATCAAGTTTATTTCCGCACTATATTGCTAAACAATTTAAAATATTTCTCAGACACATGCTTAGAACTGTAGGCATTATTTTGAACTTCTTCGAGATAAATCAAACTTGCTGTTCTAGTCGAGCAGCAGCTGACAATAGTTGTCTGAAAATCCATCTCTGTTGTGTTTAGCGGCGAAATAATTTACTATGTAAAATCATAATTGTTCTCTTATTTAAAATTAGAACGATCATTCCGCAACATGGCATCCAAAGAGGTGTCTTATAATTATTTATTATTTAAATTTCGAGCTGGCTTGCACATAGAAAGCTATTAAAAAAAAATTTGGCGCGTAAAAACTATTGTTTTTAGTTGTACGTCAGCTTCGTCATAAGTTTTAAATTTCTGAGGTGTACTTAGTTTTAATTTCTGCGCAAAATTTAAGAAAAGTAGCTTTGGACATAACTGGGCTTTGATGGTTTCGCAAACTTAAAGTCTCAATTTGAAAAAAGTGATATTATAGATTTACTTTGACGCCTACCATAGCAAAGGAGTTCTATTCTTTTTATCTCCCTCTAATCTCATAACATAAAAGAGAAGAGCACTTCCCACCATGAATAGAAGCGTTTGTTTTGACTTGGTGACATTGATATGACCTGCGCGGTGAAGAGTCTTTAACCAATATTCTATTACCTGAAAAGTAAAGAGGATTATTATTTAGGAACGCTTTAAATATATTTCGGCAAACGTCTACTGGTCCAATAGTGAATCTTAATTTTCCGACATAACGCTTTACTTTTTCAAAACCCACCACCCTGTTTCACGGCAGGTTAATGGGCTTAAATGACTACCAACACCTAATTTGTAACGACAATCGAGACAACAGTTTAAGAGCTCGCCGAAGCTCAGAAAGTCGTAAACAACGATAGGTATGCGACACATAAAGAATCAAATACAAGGTTGAAAAAATAACAATGAAACTTGTTATTCCCTATTTAAAAATATTTAGTTCTAGATATAGATTATACAATCTATGTCAATCGGCGGTATTGGAATCTTGACCAGCGGTCTAAAGAGTTTTAACTTCGTTATCATGAATTATTAAGTGATTAGCAAATGACTTTCAATATTTATCTTACCAGGTTGCTAAACAGATTGATAATCAGGCCTCTCCTTGACGGAGGCTCTAGAAGGATGAAGAGGCCATTTATGGTATTAGGGATAAGAATGTACGTGTAGTACGAGAATTTTCTTCCAATCAGTAGCCTGAAATACACAACATTGTAATTGAAAAATTAAATATTTTTCAGGTGTTATGGCACATGAATTTCTTAATATCTACTATTCAATCTGGTAGTTGAAATTAAGGTGTTCCGTATATAAACATTTATTCATATTTCTCTGACAAAATACAAAACATATCAATTAAAAAACAAAATAATAACTTTAGTTTCAAAGGCGGTTATCGCTATTAAACAAATAAACTATTAAAGAAATAAAGTCAAATATAAGAATCAAAGTGAATATAAAGCGTTATACAATTAAAAATCTGTACATATTGACAAAAAAATTAACGACACGAGCGAGACTCGATCCGTGTTTTTGCTGTAACCAATTGAGCTACCGAGTCCTACATATCATAGTCGATTTTTTTCAGCCAATTGATATATACACCTCTCACCCAAATCGATTTAAATATATATATAGATTTTCAATTCATGTAATCATTTGCGATAAAAGATAAACTTACGATGACTTGAGTGAAGAGTAAATTAATAGGATTTCATTACAGTTAAAATTACATCTGTCGAAATGAAAAATATAAAAAATGTTTTGCGTGAAAAAATATATTCGAATAAAATAATGTATGGAAATGTCTTTTCCCTATGAATTTCCCCAGTGGGTTTTCAGTACACGTATAAGATAAAATAGAGACAGGCGTTTTATTCAAATGATATAGTTTTGTATTTCACCGCAAAAGGATTTACTTTTTCAATTACAACAATAACGCTCTTATATATTTGTAACAAAAAGAAGCAGAACCTCCTCCATTGCAATACCATTTATTGCAATGGAGGCCTGTGTTTGAGTCCCGAAGAAACGATGAATTTTCTATTAATAAAATCTATCAGTGAAAAATCAAACACGCCGGAAGAAACATGGATGTCACAAAATAAGCGTCAAACACCTTTATAGTTTTAAATTGAGTTAGATAAGTTAGAGATTTTGTAAAAAAGATAATTATATTGTTTTTCTTGTCAGTTAATGTTAGTTGGTCATTCTCATGTATCGATTTATACCCAACAATTTTTTTGTTAAGTTATGATTGTCTTTATTGTGTCGTATAAGTGAAGTAGTTATAAATTCATAACTTCAAACTACCTCAAAATTAAGTATTATTATATGGGTAGTTGACGCGTGTAGTACACCTTTAAATATAACGCTTTTAACCGTTTAAAAGACGAAATATATTATTTCACTTATTTTTTTCCGTGCCCTCGTATCTACGTCTGTAATATATTTCGCGTTTTAAACCGTTAAAAGTGTTTTAATAAAATTATTAATATTTTTTATCAGTTACCTGAGCAAGCAACCAATTGATACACAAGTACCACTGATCATGGCACCCATAACCGTAGACCTCAGGTAATACTCTCCAGCTTTCTTAAGTTCATCCTTCTTCAGTAACTTCTTGCCACGTACAAGATTTTGCACCTGAAAGCAAAAAGCATAAAAAGTAATGTCTGTTACCAAGTAAAGCTTTAACGATAGAATTAGAAAAAACTATGGTTGTCAACATTGCGTCAAAAGTATATATTCAATAAAAGTAAATTTAAGATTTACATATAACGTAGACAGTGATATGGTAACGAAAGAAAAACGGTATGGAAGTAGCCAAAACAAGTACCTTCCAAGACATCGATTTTTCCAAATGTTAATACTTTTTAAATTTATACTATTAATACTTCGTAGAATAAATTATTAATACTTATATTATAAAGCTTAAGACTTTTGTCTATTTTTGGCGCGCTAATCCCAGGAACTACAGGTTCGAATTTAACCATTTATCGAGTCTTTAGACTATAAAACTTTAGGCCGTGACAAATAGAAGTAAAGAAACGGGAGGAAATGTGATTATCATTCAATTGTGGGTTTCCACTGAGTTCGCTACGAAAATGGTTTAAGACACCCAAGAACATGTAATAAAAAATTATTCTTCTTTAATAAGCTTGAAAAATAGTCCAAACAGTATCTATCAAGATTAACTCACAAGATCCATTTTTATGGTAATCAAATTTTGGTCAAAATATTTTATATGGCAAGAGAACGTTTTCTCAGGTCAGCTAATCAGTTTACAACAGAATTAAGTCTCTGCTTAGTTGCGTCTAACACGTTTTAATAGAGACATAATAATAAATGTCTTTTATTAAAAGAGGAAAATTTTAATGATTTGTCTCATTAAGAGTCATTTTATAGTGATAAAAGAAGAAATTTACCAAATGTATAAGTGCGTAGAACTTGGCACTACCGATAAAGGAGGCTTTGTACGTGTCTATGGATGACGTCCAGCAACTTCTGTCCCACGGATGAAGAATCGTGCTGCAATGGAGATCATGACATGCGCTCTCGAACATGTGCTTACTTATTTCTGGCATTTTAGCTCAATCTGAAACAAGATAATACAATATAACAAAACACTTTATGGGATTGATACGAGATATATACTTATTAGCTTTTGTTTTTTCCTTTTTTGAAAGTGTGAGAAATTTAAATTAAACACTTTAACGGTTTAAAACGCGATAAATTTTAGTTAAACTTGTTTGAGAATTATTTCTAACTGCGGCCCGGATGCATTGGAGCAGCCGTGGTCACGGGTCTCCCCGGTGTTTTTTTTTAATGTTTACTACTCGCGTAAACTACAGTATTTAGATGTGAGAAATCTCAGTTTGGAGGACGTGTAACAGAAGTGTTTTGATTTTATTAATAACTATGTTAATTCTTTTAACGTATTGTATGCTGGTAAAATTTAACTATAGTTCTTGGAATTAGGGTCGAACCCACGACCCGTAGATTATTAGCCACACATTGCTACCAAATAACTAACGAGTACGGTAAACGACATTTTATGGTATATGTATATGTAAAATTTTAGAGCATTCTCAGAAGATTCTTTACTTATGTAGTCCCCACTTTAAATGGTTATAGATGTTTTATTTAAAATATTGTCCCAGTTACTGACAGTAAAGTGGGTAAACCAGTAACACAGCAGATGATTGTTCCATCAGAGTAATTGAACTAACGAAGATGTAGGTGCAACTATTACATCTAGGTCAACGCTAAGTTGTACGTGACTCGCTATTTAGGTTAAAATATCTCAAAATGCATATAGTTCATAGATATATCCATGTAACCAATGACACGGCTAGACAGCTACCAATAAAATGCCATCTTGTGCAACATATAAAAATATTAATTCTTCAAATATTTCTACATAAAGGAATGTGTGTGTCTGCGAATGTTTCCCGTTTTCGTATAGGATACATTTTTGTGTCCGTTTAACTGAAGTTTAATATACGGTAAAACACGATTATCTATCTTCAGTAATATATCAGTCTTCAGGTAACAAACGACATAAGTTTTCAAATACTCAACAGCAAACTCAACATTTACTTATAAAAAAATATTAAGATAAATACAATTATAATTACGATCAAAATGTTTGCGTATACATATTACGTATTTCAGTAAGGGAAAACATTAGAAAATAATTGTAAGCTGTAAGGATTGTAAAAGGGTAAAAAAATATTTATCATTAAAAGTAAGTCATAATAAATATTCACTGCTAAGCGCAGTAAGCATTTTGTAGTCTTTAAAATATTGTAAATGAACTCTTAATATTGAACATTTAAAAATCAACACAAAATCAACGACGCATATCAATAATTTTAATAGCTGCTCCCGTTCTGTATCAATAGGACTATTTAACACCATTTCAAACAACAGACACAGTAAAGGAAATAGTAGAATTTATCCAACATGTAACAGAATATATATCTGTGCTTAATTTTTTTGGTAAGTAAATCACATTTAAATATTTCCTTATAATTACTTCATAGCTTTTACTTGGTTTATTGTCATGGAAAATTTTGAAATAACAGGAGATATTGAAACTAATACAAATGTTAGGTCACGAAAAAAATATATATTTTCTGTACCAAGTGAGTTTATAGTTACTATTTTATTTATGATAGAGGAAACAGACAATGGGATTCACAAGAAGGTAGGCGCCTACCTCAGTCTTATAACCTTTAAACAAGACGCACTGTTGACCTATTATGGCTTTGGGTACTTGAAAAAAAAAATTTTTTTTTCATTACACAATTGTAAGCTTAGTGCGTAAGCTGTGTGTCAAGAATTATAAGCTTAGTTTTATTTGTACTATGCTCTCTTCTGACGTAGATATGATAAGTGCGTTTAGAGAGCGCTCCAGCCAGCCAATAAAATCACTGCGAGGTTGTGGCCTTAATTGTCGTACGATTTCCTTAATTAACAATAGCATTTTTCATATAGACAGAAAAAAAATAATAATTTTGATTTGTCACTAAACCATTAGCATCGTCATAAATACTTTAAATACAAAGACAATTTTAAAAATTAAAATAAGTTTAAAAATTAAGTATCAGTGGTTAATTATTACTTACCACTCGCTTAATGTTCCTATTTTCCAATTGAAGGCTCACATTTAAAAAATAATAATTTAATTTATTATTATTTTATTATTTATTGTATCTTGTGGAAATCTAACCCACGAGCCCGCCAGTTAGTACCTATTGTATCTTATATGAACCATCGCAAGAGCGGATATTTGAATTTCTGTAAATCTTTCCTTATAAGTTTAACCTAAGCTTAGAAACATGGGATGCAAATTTAATTCCAAGAAGGAATCTGCAGCGCCGCTGATCTAACGAACAGTGCTTGCATACTAATGCGAGACTAATACAATTTGACAAGAGAAAACTAAAATATTATATTCATACTTCTAAACGTATAGTATAAAATCCTGTTTTCATAGTTGTATCCACATTTGCATGTTTCACAATTTTTTATATTAAATGGAGCTCAAACAAAAAAATTTATAATAGTTTTATGGTTACATAATAGTAAAAGGAAATAATTATATAATTTCATTTTAATTAATTCTTATCAAGATGGATTAAACGCAGAGCTACCAACTTTTTTTCTTGTCATAATTATTATTTTGATTAGATAATTAATTATTTTTCAATGCCGATTATCCGCGAATATTATAATTATAAAAAAATTGGCAAAATACTTTTAGAGTTGTAATGATTGTGGCAACAAAGCGTCAAAACTTAAGGTTATAGTTCAGAATCAGTTTACTGCAATATTTCGCGAAATGTATTTTTTAACGTGTACTAATGGCCTTAACAACGAGATTGTTATTTTACCAGTAACTTGTTGCTAAAACTTAAATAACAATGCTTATATTCTCATAGCCAAAAACTGCAACTAAAAACTTAGTTTACGTAATCTTTTTAAATGAATTGAATAACTATTTAAGTGAATAATGTATGTACTAGCTATAAAGTGTTGCCTTTGTAAACAAATGTTTGAAGGGAAGAGTACACATAATTTAGAAATACGAGTTATCTACAACACAGTCCTTAGATACCTAATCTCACAGATTAGCTAATTACCTATTTTTGTAAACAAGCCAAGTACGAGTCGGTCATGCACGTAAATAGTTCCGATAAGTATTTAAAAAACAAATGCCAATGTTACTTGCACATGATGGAATTATATAGATTAAAATGATTGATGATTGATTTTAAATTGGAAAAAGAAATACGACACAGGAAGGACTTTTTCAATAGAGTTTTGTTAACGTAAATTTTGAGTACGTGACCTTAAAATTAAATCTTAAACAGGAGACACAACAATGTATATTATTTCATTATAGATTTTTCCAAGAAACTGTCTTATCTCGTTTCTAGTCCAAAGAGATTTTCGTACGTGCGTTTCTTCAAATGCATTCGTTTGATATGAACAATAATTTTATCTTTTATTATATCCGATTGATGATATGATTAAATATGTAATTTGATTTAAGTATAAGGTGAACAGAAAAATTTTAAGAAAAATCATCAAGATTTCACAGCTGTTCTTGGAAAAAAAATTTTAAACAAGTGTGTAAAACAAAATATTTTTAATATTTTATAAAATTATTCAAAACAGTACGTAAAATTACTAAGCGAGGCTAAAAGATTAAAAATTAATTTTATACCCGAAACTGTTAAGGAAAATACAGTTTCCAATTTTTATAACTAGTCTAGGAAATCTTAATTATATATTAAATATTTATCTATTTTACTTTTATAATCTTTTTAAATACCTGTTATTCGATAATTATTCCCAGTAACATTGAACTTTAACGCTACTTGTATATGTTTGACAGTAACTGAATATCGCGCAAAACAAAAGATAGCCGATAAAACTTTTAATTATTCCACGGCATTCACCTCCGAGGCGCGCGCGACCTCTTAGTGCAATGAGTTGTACTTTGTGACGTCGCACGCGCATTTAGCATTGTGTATTTGAGCCAATACGAAACGAACATGAGTGTTTGGATGGCCGATGTATCAAGTACGGAACTATTTTTAAAATGGAATTCTTTGGTATTCGTAACGGCTTCGATAGAACCATCACATCAACTTTAAAAACAAGCTAACAGTGTAAAATGCAAATTATATTAGTTAAATATCTTATCATCGTTCTTCGCGCTGTTCGGCCGACGTAAGCGAGAAGTGGTTCTCGACGTTTCGCCATCACGAGCGGATGTCATCATCAGGAGATGTTGTTAGCTCCTGGATTGCTTGAATATCTCCTGATTATGCCGCACGAAAACAATTACATATATGCTGAATGATGGCCGTGAAAGCCTTACACAATTTATATTAGTTAAAATTAATTAAAAAATATTTTTAAAACGGTCCGACGTTTCCGATGCTTTTAAGCAGCCGTGGTCACGGGGAGAACAAAGATGGAGGGTGGCTCAGACGTTAAAATAAAAATTGTTACGCTGACGCCATCTGTTACCTCGTAGTTAGTATTTGGCGAAACTGGTCGAGTATTTGCAAAATTGATTAACGGTGTCCTCGCGTTTAAACAACATATCGGTTTTTTAAATCTTGAGTTTTAATGTGGGATACCAAGTGTCTAAAACTAAGAAATATTTTTGTCTAATGAATGTAATCATTTATATTACATGCAGATTTCTTTCCATGTAAAAATAACTAACAACGCGCTCAAATAAAACACAATGGGGGCATTTTTAAAAACATCGAGTTGAAACTTGTCCGGATTTGTCCAATGTCCGTAGAATAATTTCTCCCAGATACAAATTATAACAAAAAACAAAAAAAAATACCTATATCTATTTGGTTTAACACTTTACTAAGTATAAATCTTTTACACACAACGCAACACTTATGTTTTTCCTTTGTGCAATTAATTTGAACGATGTCATTATATTTTCCTTTTTCTCATCATAACAGTGAACACATATTTCAAATTAGACTAGCAGTTTCTGAGATTGGCGTGTTCAAACAAACAAACGCTTTTAGCTTTAAAATAT